TGTTTGTGTGGGCGTTGCAGGGGGCGTGCCAGCCAGTTCTTCACTGGATTCAGCCGCCAAGATCAGTGGGATCGGGGGCTGCCACTCAGGTTCTTTTTTTTTAAGGGGGCTTTGGCTATAGAGTCTGGTTCCGTGTGCACTTCGTGTTCGGCGGCGATCGAAGGCGGTGCTGCGGTATTATTGTCTTGGTCTGGTAATTCAAGGTTCGCAGCGGGGCCGGGCCCCTAACCGCATTTGGCCAATTACCTGGAAAATGTCAAATCAACCGATTCGTTTTGGTCTTTTCCTCTGCCGGCCATTGTTTCCTCCAAACTGGAGTTTTCCCAAAAATATTACAGCACAGGGAGATTTAAGTGCGAACTGTCTGTCAAAGGTCATTATTGTTGTTAATTTTGAGGGTGTTGAGGTCAAAACAGTGGCGAAAAATAGTGTCCATCAACAAACGAATCAAAAATTTGTTTTCGCCTCTCTTATGACCTTTTTGCGGGCAATTATCAAACGAAAAAAGAAGCAACAAAAATTGCTCCATGTAAACTGTTTTTTTTTTCTAGACAATTTTCTTTGCTAACCAAACGTGCAGACCAAAGATAAACAAAAACGAAACAAAATTAAATGTCGAAGGTTTTGCACGATTGTCTTCGACCCGAAGTTGGTACAAGTTTTCTGTTTTTCTGGCCATTTCAATTGACAAATGTTATTTGCCCGAACGCAAACCCAAGTCGAACTCGGCTCAACCTCAAGCTCAAATCCAAATGACCTTAGCTCCAGCACGAAACCGTTTATGGCCATCCAAAGAAAATCTTTTGCCACTTCATTCGCATTCCAATTTCAATTTTCAAAATTTGGGTCAAATTATGTCGCTCGGCGTCTCTTTAATTATGATAAACTTCTGGTTGATCTACGGCCCAAAAAAAAGACCCTGACGAACAGTTAAAAAAAAGTGCTCAATTAAATTAAGCACTAACTTTTTCAGTGTTTGGTAGCATTACCTTCGTAGTTTCCTTTCGGAACTTGTGGTTATGATAAATTAACCAGTTTATAATCTAATGATGAGCAAAGAGAAATAGAAGAGGTTGATAATGAGTTTTGATTGGTATCAGCTTCCTTATGCTAATCAACTGATCAAAAGTGATCGGCCTTTGTCATATCAAACAGAAGAACTCAGCACCCAATCTCCACATATTTTTTTATATGTATGTATTTATGCAATCTGTTTCAGTTCAATAAGTTTCGGAGACTCTATTTAGACAATTTAGAAATCAAGTCGAATGCTATTAAGCCGCAATTAGTTGGCAGCAGCACAAAAAGTGGTTCCACACTTTAGATTGGCCAAAAACGCAAAGCAAACTTAATCAGTTTGGGGCATATTTGCACGGATCAGACATCGAAACATGTTCGGCATTCGATTGACAAATGCGTGGCATCTCAAAACTGGAGCAAACGCAATGAGAGAATGCCTGACGATACAACGATTCGGAGGTGCAAAAAAGTTGCCAACAAATGGCAAATGACAAATGTTAAGCAGCGCTCAATAAATCGAACGCGCTTGAATGAAATTCATGAGTGCTTCTGCCCTATAATAAACGACAGTCTCTTGTTAATTACCATCTATATATAATGTTTTATTCCTTTTAGCAAACTTCTTGTTTTCGGGTTTTTTGCCTTTGACTGCCGAAAGCCGAGTAAAGCTTGCTCAAACAAATTTGAATAGCTTTTTTTTACTTTGTTTATTGTATAATTAATGGCCTGCTAACACGAAAGGTGTTTGCTGTCTTAGATCTAAATCATTTTTAATGACACAATTGGCTTGTTGAGAAGAACATTACTGGGCAGCATCACTGACTAAGAGTATCTAAACACATCTGTTCTTAAGATGTTTATTTCGTTTGGTTATATAATCTTTATTTTTTTAATAAAAAAACCCCCCAAATATCCATAAATTTCGAACGTGATTCTTCTAGAATAAAGCTTATTGATTATACTGAAGGAGGTAAATACTCTGCCTTTATTCAACGTATAAAAAGTTCATGTAAGAAAAACAAGTTCTTAATAAGAATATTAACGACATATTAAAACAAACATATATTTTCAGAAGTTGTTTATCAATAGAACTACCGCTAATAATTTTGTTAAGAGCATCTAAGCTTCAAAGTGCTCGTCTTGTTTTCAAACATTTCTTTTTGATTGTGAATTGAGCTTTGACGTCACATTCGCATTAATTAATTATATTAGTGAGACTGGCGGACAGTGAACGCGAAATGTCAAACAACAAATTAACTAATAAAAGACCCTCTTCGACCGACTCGGATAAAATAATATGCAAATGACTTCTGGAACTGTGAAGTAAAATCTGAAAATAGCATTACCTTGCATATATGAACGGAAATTGAATATTCAAGTATTCATTATTTAGTTCTCAGTGTTATCATTTGGTTCTTGTGAAAATCTGCTACTTTCTAATTTATTTTGAGCCTTTTATATTGATTCTGATTTTATTGACCACTAAGTATTAAGTATTTTCGATCGTTTGTGGATTTTGACCAATTTGGGGGCAGCCCACTTCCAAAAGTGTGCATATATAATTTGCAAATCGTTTAGGAAAAATATAATAAAAAACTCTATCAAGCTGACACTAAATATGGAATAAATTATTCTTAAATAAAGACTGAAAAAAATCTAAATCCTCTTATCCATGCATTATCTAATTTATTTGTTTTTATAATGACTAAACACTGTAAACACTGTAACTAATTTAATATCTTCTTAACTCAACATGTGCAAAATTTATGAACTTTTTTATTTTTTATAAATTGCTTAAGTGTTTTTGACCTACAGCAGGAAAATGTAGGTGGATTAAAACTAGGATGACAAATACCCGAGTACTCTTTAAGTGATTGAAATCAAAAACCACTCTTCTAGCTAAAATCTTCGATCTATCTCTGTCCGTTTATTCAAATGTTGGCGAATCAACAACAAAATGAAAGTGATCTAGAAAAACAATAAAACCCGAGCGATGAATAATAAACCGCACCGACCAAAACACGATGCATAAACTTGAACTTGAGCTCGGTGGCCTGGGCTCTTTTGTTGGCCGCTTGAATTCGTGTTTGGTTTGCATATTGTTATTGAAGCGCTTAAGTCATCCGCTCGACTGCAGTGCGGAGATTCTATGGCGCTGAGTTTGGTATAGCCTCCCATTAGTCAAAGAGCTGGCCACAAAAGAAGCTATACCGCATGGGCAAGGCCTACCACCACCACCGCCATCACCCGCAGCTCCCAAAAACCACGAATGTAGTTCAACTTTGACTCTGACTTTGCAACCGATTGTGATGCTGATTATCGTGGTGATGATGTCTGGCGACCTTCGCCTTCAACTGCACATTACAAAGCCTAATACGCTCGCAGTTTCCATTATGACCGGGCATTATGCCCACAATTAATTTAATGCACATAAATCCAACATGATTTGGCCGGCATTTGTTCTCCTTTGTGCGCGTTTGCGGTCCACTCATTGTTCACACGTTCCATTTACATGGCCATTGGCGAGTATTTCCTCTGCAGCATTAAAATGTCAAATTACCCACACCGCCGCAGCATTCAATCAATGCACCCATATCAAGGCTTGAGCCGGGCTGCTAAGCCTGGCCAAAACGGCAAAAAACGAAGCAAACAAGAATACTGAGCCAAACACAAATCAGAGATCAAAAGTTCAGTCACGAAGCCACACAGAATCAAGCAGACTATGCGGCGCATGTTTTTTCCTTTACAGCCGACCAATTTACATTGAATATGCAACTGCAACTGCAGTTGCAACCTGAAATTTTCGGAAATGTGTGGCTAATGTGAATTTGACTTATGGCTGCGGAACATTTTGCCAGTTTCGCCTAATTTGATTATGAGATTGAAGTGCTCGCGGTCAGTTATTATTGCCTCAAGGCTTTATAAATCAGAAATAAGAAACGAAATATGGGATTTTTGCAACATTTAATTTGAAAAACTAAATAATATGTTCGTGTAACTATATTTTTTAATAATATAATTAATAAACAACGTGCAAAATGTTATGTGGAAAATAAATATTACATATACTAAAAGCTTTATTTTGTTTCTGTCTTTAAGCTATTTGAGATGAAGAGTAATATTTAAATATACTTCTAAAAATGTATATGTTTAATCAAAATATTAAAATTTGTTTATGTTATATTTTATGGCACTGTGACATTAATCGCCAATTTTGTTCTTTATTCCATATTTGTGCTGAGTTTCTCTAGAAAATTTTTTTATGTATTTATTTTTATGTTTCTAAAACAAAATTGTATTCTTCAGTCCACTGCACTGTTTATTATTTGTAATTTTGTTGATATAAATATTGTAGCCAATAAGTAAGCCACAAAAAATATATTTATTACTTTTAAAGAACTCTAAAAAAAACTTTGCGAGCAATAACTAAAAACAATTGTTGCTAAAAACTGTAGCTATCTCTTTGGCATCCCAAATAGTAATGATCTAGTTCCACAACAACAAAACATTAATTTTTTTACTTATTAACTTATTTATGTGCTGTATTCCGATTGAGTAAAAAGGATTCCATTAATTTATTGAGATGTAAAACAGCAGCTCCTTTCCATGGCGCTGTGCCCCAAGTACTTCGGATCTAAAAACTGGCAAACGATCCAAAGATTGCTATATTTCGAGCTCAAAGCCTCACAGATATGCACTCATACAAGCGCAGATCACACGGACGACACGGACGCTGTCCGTGTGAGGCACCCTCGCGGAAAGCTCCACTCGTGACGCATTTCCTTTGGGCCAACACGGCTCACACGGACAGTTGGCCAAGAGAGCGGGGCGTTCCGGCTAATGGAGAGCGAGCTTTTTGGCCCGGCTGCTGCGATCTAGATGCGCGGCGACTGCGCAGCCGCGGCCAAAGACAATCCCGCCACAGCATCGGCCATATAAAAGCTCGCTGCGTCTGTGCAAAATTATTCAGTTAACTGTTGCGGGTTGGTTGAGACATACAAGCCCATCTTGATCGCAAAGTGTTGAGGAGCGAAACCTAGTGCAAAATGAAATCCATGGTATGTTCGGTCTGAGCTCAGTGTATTCTCCTTCAAAGTGTTACTTAGAATAAATGTGCTTAAAGAACTCGATTTCAGTTAAAGTGGCTTACCAAAAAAAATAATGTTTATTGTTCAATGCAGACATGTCGGTGTGGCAATTAAAAAGAATATTTAAAATACAAATTATTGCCTGTTTTACACAGCTCTATTCAAACTCAAAGAATAAATGGATATTCTAAGCTGTCACTAGATATGTTGAATTTTTGTGGCAGGACATCCTAGTTTCAAGAATAAGGATTATTTAAATTAAAAAAAAAATTGATTTAAGGAAAGAAAGAACTTGGTTTTTAAGAACTTGGCTTTATCCAATTTAAAAAAAACTTTTTAGAATCTATAGTTCAGAAAATATTGATTAACTATTATGATCGAATAGATTTTTTCTCATGTTGGAAGTTCTAAAACATAGTCAGAATGTTTTTGAAATAAACTTTTATAAAAAATATAAATTTAATATAAAAAGTAGGCATTAAATGAAGGCTATTTCAAAAAAGAGTAACCGATACGTTTTGGCGATTTTGCTGATTTGAAATTTACCTAAAGCATTGCGAAAACTTCAATCCACATTACGTATACGCCGCATGCCCAATATGTTAGGGGGCCTAGGCCGCAATTGAACTTGGCTGATTGCCCAGCCAACTTTCCAGCCATTGCATAATTGTCATATTCCAAATTATGGAGTGGCCGGGGCGGAGGCGGAAGCGTCTGCAGTTGCATAACCAGGCCAACCCAATTTGGGCTTCAATCGAATTTAACATTTAAACCTGCACATTGCAGCTCATTTTCGGCCTTGTGGCGATGTGCGTGCTGGTGGCCAGCGCCAGCGAGGAGGCGCCCAAGAAGACCGTGGAGGCCGCCGAGCCCGCCGAGAAGAAGCAGGAGAAGCGCGGCATTGGCCACGGCCTGGGCTACGGCTATGGACCGTCGGCGGGAGGCGCCGTCCTGGGATCAGGCATTGGAATCGGAGTCGGAGTGCCAGTGGCACCCGCCGTCGCCGAGCTGCCCACCCAGGTGCACACCAACACCGTGGTGAGGACCGTCCAGGTGCCCTACCAGGTGGAGCGTCACGTGCCCTATCCCGTGGAGAAGACCGTCACCTATCCCGTGAAGGTGCCCGTCCCTCAGCCCTACCCCGTGGAGAAGATCGTCCATGTGCCCGTCAAGGAGATCGTTAAGGTGCCCGTCGAGGTGCCCCAGCCCTACCCCGTCGAGAAGGTGATCCGTGTGCCCGTCAAGATCCCCGTCGACCGTCCCTACACCGTGCACGTGGACAAGCCATACCCCGTGCCCGTGGAGAAGCCCGTGCCATACACCGTCGAGAAGCGTGTGATCCACAAGGTGCCCGTGCACGTGGAGCGTCCAGTGCCCTACAAGGTGGCCGTGCCCGTGCCCGTCCATGTTGAGAGCCACGTGAAGCCCGCCGTGGCCGTCACCCACACCGTTGCCGCCGCTCCCGCCTACATTAGCTCCGGACACGGCATCTCCGGCTACTCCGGCCACGGCATCTCCGGATACTCTGGTCACGGAATCTCCGGACACGGCATCTCCGGACACGGAATCTCATACGGCGTCTCCGGACACGGTATCTCCTCCTACGGCAGCTCCGGCCACGGTGGCTACCTCCACAAAAAGTAGATCAATTCGCAATGCTGTCGAGGGCCAACGGAGATGTGAAATCGGGTGAAGGCGAGCCAACCAACAAAGTCGAAAGTATCCAAAAAGGAAAAATGCATTAAGATTCAAGCACCCCCACCCTCTTTACCACGCCCAGCAATCGCCAACGTACGACTTACAAATTTAGTTTTAGTTTGTGATACCAACCGAAATTCTAGGAGGATCTGAGGCAGGAGAAAATCACACATCTAACGTAATCCCCTCTAGAATACTTGCCAAAACCCATCTGGGGCGTTCAGAAGGTGCCTGTCTCCTGGCCAAGATTCCACCGAGTGTACAGTTCTTTTGTAGACAATCACAGAGAAATAACTGCTGACGAGTTGCTCCTTCGACTTTTTCATGTAAATTTCTTTTCTATGAAATGTTTGTACATATTTAAATAATGTAAATAAAACGAAAATTAAAAAAAGGGCTGTATATTTTTGATTTTGGAGTGCAATCACAATTCCATAAATGAAATGCAATGGGGGACATTTGCATTACAGAATAGGTTCAAGTTATATATTCGTAGTTTTTGTCAGTAAACCTGATTATGTTTTCGGTTAGAAAAGTTTACGTAGTAAAAGTTTAACCTGAAGATGAGGAATTTTTGATTGCAAATTTTTGATTTTGGCTTTTTAATAAGTTGTAATATTTGTATTCAATTTTTGATTTTTACCTAAATTAGATCAATTAAAATAATTAAAAATAATAATACCACCAAATTTAATTTCCGAACAGCATTGTATAGGGCTATTTTGTATCTCTTATCAATTCCCTTAATGAAAAAAGTACCGAAAATATGCAAACTTAGGTAGTTCCGAATGTAGATCGTCATTGGTATGTTCAAAATTTATCTGTTAAAAATACGGGTATGGATGTGAATAATTTGGGCGAAATTTTATACAAATGACTTATAAAAAAAGTGTGACCGATTAGCTTTGTCACCCTGGAGAAATATATTTAGTAAGGAATATTACTCTTCAGATTTTTAATATAAATCATGATCAAAAGTTAAAATAAATGTCTTAGTCTGTTTCACCATAACCACAGACTTCGAAACCATCAATTCATTGGAGAACCCTAAAAGTATGCAACAAATATTATATCAATTATAAATAAAAGCTTGTGTATCTTTTGTACGCAGTCCACTGCAGTGAAGCTTGATTGTATAGATACTCGTCCTTTCAAGTTTTTGTTAGAAGGTATAGGTTATTTTCATTATGCATGAAAAAACTTCAATTAATAATCAATAATTACTATTTAACTTAAATGTACATAAAAAATATTTACTTCAGGTAGGTTAGTGATAACATTAAAGATTTATTATATTCAAATAATTTACTATATTCAAAGACATTAAATACACATCTTGATGGGACATATAATATTAAGCTAAGAAGTAAAAAGAAAGTCCAACCTTTTAAAATATCAGAATGACTTGCTTGCCAACCCAATATTTAATAAGCCTAGGAGTATGCACCATATACAATTTCAATACGTAAGCTAAGCTTACGTTAAAGTCTTCTTACGTAGAGTATTTTAATGAGCATTCTATGTTACGGTTTTCCTTAATCTTTTCAAAAGCTCTCCTATCTTTAATTCTTACATGTAATCCCTCTTCAAAAAATATTTCAACCCAGACCCGTATAAATTTCTTTCTCCTCAAACAGTCACATTCTAATTGTTCCCCAGAGCGGATTGAAATAGCAAAAATGCTTAAGTTTTTTATTATTACTGTGCTAAGCACATCGGCATTCCAGATCGGTGTTTCTGGTGAAGATCCGCATTTATGCCGGAAAGAGGTTGTTGTTAAGTATACGGAAACGATACCTAAGTCAATAGACGAATATGGAAGTTTTTCGATATATTTTTCAAATTTGGGTATACCAGCAGGGAATCAAACTGTGGTAAGCCTTAAATACTAATTAACGTTCGACTCGGATTTAAAAAAAAAAAACAATATTCGTAGACCAAAACCAAAATGGAAGTACAAGAAGTTTGTTGCCCAGGATACGGAAAATCAGCCGACGGACAATGTGTGCCATCCCCAACTACTGAAGCAACATCCGATACAAAAGCAGTCGATTCATCTACATTACCTCAACCAAATCAAAAGGAGCCATCTGATGCTTCTAGGCATAGTAATCAACCTACAAAAAATAGCCATAAGCCACTTATAGTAGGCATAGTTTTTGGAATTGTTGTACTGATAATTGTCATAGCTTCTGTAATTACTTGGCAAATTCGCAAGCGAAGGAACGTTTCGAACTATGAAGTCGAGGTCAAATTTAACTCCGAAATGCAAACAGCGCTATTGTGAAATTGTAATAATAGCATATCTCTTAACACACAATGAAAATATATTGTTTTCAGAATAAGTGATACGGAAGTAAGAATGAAATTTCATGTAAAGCACCGTTCTTATCTGTTTGAATAAAGTAGAAAAACGATAAATTTGAATTTCACAATGGTTCGACATGCTTAATAATAAAAAACAAAGTTCATTTTTTCAGATGATTAACATATAAGTAATTGAGGGATGATAAAACAAGACGGCCTTTGTTTGTTAATGAATGTCGGTTTAAAATAAGGGTTTGATAATGGGTTTTTTATTTTACTCTGAGCTAAACAAAAACATATTTTGGCAAATACGCTTGAACAGATACAAGAGAGTGGCATTTATTTCTAGTATATAAAAGATTTCTGAATAAACTAGATTAGTCACTCCTAGTTATGCGATGCTCGACGAGTTTCTTTATTAAACCTTAAATAATGTAACAGAAAATAAACAAGTTTAAAAAATAATTTAGAATTTAATAACTTTAAAAAAGTTAATTGTTACGATGCCTAATCGGAAGAATGATCCGATTCGAGGTACTAATTTACACTTCTTCTCAAGATTTGGCAACACCTCTTAAAATTTTATGAAAAATTGCGATCAGAAGTATTCACTTAAAGAATGATTTAATTAAATTCCATCCCCGTAGATAGCTGATGAGTGCAAAGAAGATGAAAGTTAAGAAAAAACGTTGATAAGAAAAAATTAAATATAACCAACCTTAAATCACTTCCAATCAAACTTTAATTGAGGAAAAATATGATATATATATTAGATTAATAAAGAAGACAACATTTCTTTATTATTTAAAGCTAACATATAAATTAATAATTATAAAAATCTTTGGTCTGCCAAAGAAGTAGTGGTCAAGCCCCCAAAACCAATGGAACCAATTCACTCTCACTCGACTAATTATCACATAATCTACAAGGCACTTAAGCAAAATAAAAAATTTTTTGCCAAAATGAAATAAAAACAAGCTGGTGAAAAGTGATGCAACAATTAATGCACGTGAGGTAGGCGAGTGTGCTCGGCAATCGAGAGCAAGCCAACATTTATCGGCGCAATCAACTGCAATGACAGGCAATCCAGAAAGAGCCGATACGGTGCGCGTTTCAAGTTCGCTGCCTGAGTCGTTCGTTTTGGGAGAACCTGTTGCCTGGATTGACCAACGCCAGCAACATTGATCTTGTCCTAACCCGAGAAACTGAGCCGTGGTTCGTGCTAGCCCGCCCGACTGCGAGTGTGTGTGGCAATGGAGAATGGCGCGCCCCAAAAAGCAAAAAGCAAAGTGAATGCAACAATAACAGCAATAACAACAACCAATGCAGACGCAATCAATTAGCGATATGCTGATGACGTCGACTTGGCTGATATTATTGTGGCTGCTAACGGCTGGTTTCTTTGTCTGCGGCTGCCACATGTGGCGATTGCGTCATGGCGCCATGCAAACCGTCTAGCGGTAATTGACTTGCAATTTCTTTTGCGCGCAACTTTTTGGTTGCAAAGAAATTTTCCAAGCACCAAATGTGTTGCCACATTTCGAAAATCGCACAGAGCCAAATGAGCAACAGCCGAAAGCGACGAAAGGTAGATGGAAACTTGTATGGGCAATTTTCGGCATTTATCATTGAGCAGATCTTTAATGTGTGGCAAATTTGGCAAACAGAAGTAAAACTTTCGCAATGATGGGCTAAAATCTTGAAATATTTATTTTGATTTTAATTTATATTTGACTGATTTTTTAACAATTATTTGAAGTTAGAACTCTTTTATTCTCGGTTAACTAAAAATTTATTCAAAACCTATTTTTAAAAGTAATTGCATTGAGCATTATGGTAGTTTGCACTATGCATTTTTAATGCGTACTGTTTTTACTTTCTCTGTGCACTAATTTTCTTATTCGGAAGTCGATTTGCTCATTTTTACTGGGTTTTTGCATGCTTTTGAAAAATATAGGAAAAACATAAATACCATTTGATTGATGTTCATTTTTATAGATCAGTTAACTGGAGCATGTCAACAACTGGAAATTCTACATTTATTTTGCAATAATATTTTATTTTCCAGTTCAATTTTCCAGATACCATTTTTAAGCGCCTTTCGTATTTTATGTTGCTAAGATCGTTGCCTAATATACGTATTTTTGTTTTATTGCTGCTGTTTTGTTAATTACAGTCATTTAAGTGCTGCCTAATTACGCTCCACTCTATATTTTTAGACTGGTCGAGGTTTGAAAGAAAAGTAATGGAAAGTTTATAGTACTGGAAAAAACTATTTACAAAAATATGCTTTTTGGATGATATATTATTGAAATTTAATTGACATTTATATACAACTTTTATTTAAAAATGGCAAGATAAAAAATGTGTTTAAACACTTATTAAATACTATAAAATGTACATCTAGAGAGACCTAAATCTAAGTTATTATTTGTTGTGTGATCCCCGAGCTATAACCACTGGAACACCCCTCGCTCGCCCATCCACATTCACACTAAATATAAACTTCGGCTTTGCCTCAGTGCGGCTGAGGAGGCAACAAAGCCAAGACCTGCCAAAACAGATTTACCAAATGTAAAACGAAAATGCCGACAAGAAGCGGACCATACCGAATGTACATATCTACTAGCTACCCTGGGCTACACTATAGCATAATGTTTATTCAATTTACGCAATTTACATCCAACAACAACAGCTGGGCATTTGATTGCCAACTTTGTTTCGGACTTGGGGTGTTGTTGTAATTATGGCCACAAAAACAAAGGGGAATGGTGGCAAACACTGAAATCGAAATTAAAGTCTTTATTTAAAATAGTTTCTGCTGAAGAAGTGACGAAAGCGTGCGGATTTTCCTCATGATATTTCGCAAAGTTTTCATCGGAAATGCAAAATTTGATTGACTAAGTCAATGGGTCAACTATTACACCCCTTTACAGCTGGCCGACACGAAACTGGCCCCTAGGCGGAATTATTATGCTAATAAATAGTTTTCCTTTGACTGGTTTTTCTGGCTTTCTCGCATTAAAATCTGCATAAATTCGCAGGTGGGTCGCAGGCTCAACTTCCTTATTAATCAGTTTAGCTTTAAGCCTACAACCCACGACAATCGAAAGACTTTTAGCCACAAATTTGATTAAGTGAACGTCACGGTTAGCTGCAGAAGCATAAAGAAATATTGATATTTATGTTTTTCTGTGGCTTAATTGACCGTCGTTAAAAGCGTTCGTCGGCGCGTGACAATGTGACCAAATAGCGACTCGACTTCTCGAACAATAAATAAAAGAAGGCATAAACCACTCATACGCCACAAAAAAGAGGCAAGAGTTCAAATGATTTTGCCATTGACCCCATTCCATGCCTTGTTGTTTCTGAGTGTTTTTTTCGCCGATCAGTTCAGAGATGCGTTAAACCGAAATCGTAAACCCCGATTGAGCCCTAATTGCAGCGATCACTGAGGGGAGCGGTTGCCTGAAGTGGAAAAAGAGAGCTGATCTCAGCCAACTGATTGTAATAGGGCAGTGATTGCAGTTTACACGTCTTGCAAGTTCATTGGAATGGTCTTTAACCTGAATAGCAAACCGATCATGTGGATAGTAAATATTTTGTTTACCTAATGAACCTTTTGGGTGGGCAAGGTTAGAGTTGGCATTGAATTTCGGGGGTTTCCCTTTTCAACTAACTGCAGATGAAGGAGGTTCACTTTCGGTTTTCTTTATTTAAGTGATAGCTACCACTTCATTATAAAAATTTGTGTAACCCTTGATCCAATTTGAATATCTCGAGATCCTTCAATTATTCTGATGTATCCTTACACAATCATGCAATAAGACTTTTCTTCAGTTAAAGCTACTTTAAGAATATTTTGACAAAGCTTTGTTTTTTTCTATTTATACATATTTATGGACCTCACATTTCCCAATATGAAAATGTAGCTTTCCCTGTGACAAATTTCCAAAAAACCTAAAATCGACGTCAGATTTTTTTGGAGCCAAAGTTTTCAGTTAGCTGGGCAGGGTAACGAGACCAAGCAACGACCTTGGCCAGTAATGCAATGAACCCTGCGGTGGCCCCTCCAAAATGGCAGTAAACAAGACGCGAAACGGTTAAACCACCGAGACCCAAAAACAGTTAAACGCACACCTCGACAGGTGGAAACCACAAGCGAAACAGCAAAAGCCAACAACTGTTGGTGACAAAGAGCTGAATGGGACTGTGCTAAACGGCACATAAAGTGTCATAACTGTCATTTTCGCCTACATGGCTTACAGCTCTATATATTGTTGGATGTCGTCCAATGTTTAAGACATCACACACTTAAAATGGGAACGCAGTGGAATGGAATGCCCAAGCGACGTCAATCAATTGTTACACAAATCAGGCAGCGAATTCAAATCGCAGATAGCAACTTCTATGGATGATCAATCGGCAGCTGGTTCAACTTTGACACCTTTGTCGGCGAATAAAGACCCTCCGAATTAGATGAATGAATTTATGTAAAGCTAAGTTGATCGCCAAATGCGGCAAGGTCAGGCCACAGACAATGTAAACAAACGAGCTGCAGCCTGAATATCGGCACAAAGAAGCTAAGCCCCAATCGAAAGATGTTTTTCAAAGCGTCGCAAAACAATGTGGGATGGATAAAAAAAACGAAGAGTGGTATGGATATATAAAGTTAGGCATATGGTAATTAAGTCGAGGAAGTAAGTGCACTCCAACCGATTGTGATGGGGCTCAGACAATGTACTCGAAATCATCTCTCTGACGGTAGGCGGCGCTTGCCCCAGCAAACTAACATATGACATAATATCACCATCAGCTGGGGCAGCCTCCAACACACTCTGCCTCTCTTTCTTCTGGCCTCTTGCTACCTCTCTTTGTCGGTGGCTTGTGGAAATGTGCATCGAACAATGTGGTCAAGACATGCAACAAACGCGAATCGAAACGAAATCGAAAGTTGCATGCATGCAACGAAAGCGAGAAAATATTTGCTATCGTAACAAGTCTGGGATTGGAAGGTGCTAGGCATGATTGTAAAGCAATGCCTGAACAACATTTACTTAATAGAACTGACATTTAAATATGCTTCAAATGCTTTACATTTAATAACATGCATTGTCATAAAAAAAGATTAAGAAACTTCATTATACTCAACAATTCTAATCTGATAAACGGTTTACATTGAAAAGTATCAGGAATCAGGATATCTTTTAAAACCTTCTTCCTGAACAGAGAAATTATATTTTTTGGGTTTTATTATTGTCATGTAGAATTACCATGTGCTCATTATAAGTGTTAGAAATACTTTCAAATTTCCGTTCTTAATAAAGACATTTAATTTTAAAAGCTTTAATTATTAGTACTTAAGGGTTTTCATTTAATAATCAAAGTTTGATAAAACTAAGCTTTACTTTACTTGGGGAATATTTTTTTGTTATAGATGTTCAGATGAATACCATTTATTACAATATCTAATCTCTGTACTAAATTTAGCAATATTCGTTATGGGGTGCACCTTAAACTCGTATCCATACTATAAGTGTGATATATTTATACACGATATGTGTGCCAAGCCGCAGCTGACTGAAGACCCATTGACATAATAACGAGGAAGGTAATCGGACTAAGACTGGACCCGCCCCGGCCAGGGTCCACATGGAGTATAGTGGAGCTACTGCTGGTGGTGCCGGTGGTATCAATTACGCAGCAATAGCAATGGAAGTGGAATCAAATGGCGAGTGGATTGGACTGTCGTCTCGGTTCGCCGGCTCCTGTTACTTCTGCTACTTCTGTTACTTCTTCTGGGACTGCTCTTTGTCTTAGGTTATGGTTGGTCACTCGAATGTGGAGCAGTGACACAACCGAATGACCGAGTGACACACTCACCAGTTGGAGTCGGGACTGGGGTCCCCAACCTCTCGGAAACAGGTCCGGAATTATTGGGGCTGGGCCGGGTGAATGGGATAATGGCATAATGCGATTGGGGAAAAAGTAAAAGGATGCAGATGACAGCCAAACAGAGGATTGTCTGTGGTCAGTTGAGGAAGAGGAAAAGCAGGTGACACGAGACCAAAAAAAGGGGGTGTAACAAAAGTGAGAGGGGTAAAGACTCGAAAAAAGAGATACAAAACTCCGCAGGATTTGTGGAGCATTCAATTAGGAAAAACGTTCAAAGCGGTGAAAGGAAAAGCCAAAGTAGATTAGTGTGTTTTTTTAGGGTATGGTAAAAGATAATTATGTTTATTGGATCTACGATTACTCCACAACTTGTGCGATTGGGTGCACTAAACATTTATAAAGAAGTATTTAAAAATATTTGTAATGTTACTTTTCTGGCTTACTAATATTTTAATTTAAATATCAACTCAAAATCTTTTAACTGATTAGATGTCTATTTGAAAACGTAAACGTAATAAAACAACTTACTTCTTTGCTAGTTTCAATCAATCAATCAAAATTCACTCCGCAGAACAATCCCCAATCATGAGGAGATAGCAAATAAAAATCCAGCAACAACAAGTACATAATCATCTGTGATTAACATAAAAACAACATTGAAATGAAAACCGCTAACAAAGCGAACAGCTCATCACTTGAAGTGGCTTGAAGGCGGCTCATCCATTTGGGTATTATTCAATTACCAGCCAGAAATTGTAGTGCCTGCTGCTGAAGTTGCCGTTGTGGTTTCTCAAGCCTTTTGCGTGCACTGACTTGCGGCAGCCACAAGAAGCAAAAAAGCGGCAGCTGACGGTAGTCGAATTAAACAGCAAAATGGCACGCATCCATAGACCCTCGTCTGCCCCGCCGTCATGCCCCCGGAAAATGCCCCCGCTCCCGCCCATTCGCATGGTCTCCTCTTGATATTGCAATCTTATTTCTGTTTTTATACCCGACTAGAGGGTTTTATGACTTTGAGGATCATTTTGCTGTGCCTACTAAAAATGTCAGACAAATTGTTAAATTCTAAACTTATTTATAACCTTTTAGATAGGATTTTTTAATTGGTATCTTATATTGTACCTAGTGTTATAGATTGGAACGAACCAATAACTAGCTATTTTTTGTAAGACAATTTTCACGATACATAATTTTTACTTAAATATTTTTTTATAATAAAATATATCTAATCTTTGAACTAAGCGTAAATCTAAAAACGGGTTGGTCCAATTGATCAAACAGCTGAAAAAACATCTGCATATCAAATCGAACTACGAAGTCATGTTTTATGCTTCTGGCAACAAAAGACCGAAATCGAATATTCCTACTTAAATTTTTGTAAATAATCTGTATGCAAAATAAAACCATAAAGTTGATCATTATATATAGCTCCAAAATCTTATTGTGTTTTGAATGCAAACTTTGCTTGACCCAAAGGAAAAAATGTATGTTAAAGGGTATGAAAAGCTTCGTAATTTTAAGCGCAACTGCTATTCTTGTTTTTATTTTTTCGCGGTGACGGTGGCGCTGCATTTGGCGCTTGGCTGCGTTGACTTCGCGCCTCCAAAATCCAGCGAAGCCAGCGGACCACCGAAGGCAAAGTGGGCAACAGCAACAACATGGAGAGTGTAGGTATAGCGTACCGCTCACCATTCGCTGCGCCGCATGTGTTTTGGGCCATTGCGATTATTATTGGTGGTTTTGGTTTTGGCCGCCGTCTGCTCTTCGGCTTGAGTTGCTTCGTGCATCCATTCATTCGGCGGCCTGGCTTGGCTTTCGATTGGGAACTATAAAAGTGCGCGCAGGCGCTGCAGTTGGCATCATTAAACCGTTAACCGTCGAACAGTCTACAGCCTAGAGTGTGCGGAACGTGTGGACTAGTGATCAATAGACACACCCTCGATTAAAACCGGGATCAGTTCTCGTCCAGTTCTCGAATCGCGTGCCACAATACCTGGGAAAACGGATTTTCATTCCCGTACATCGAAGGATAAACGCAGCAGCATGAAGTTGATGGTAAGTATCGGTGGCAGGACGAAGAGTGCAGTGCTCACGTTGTTAAAAGGACACAAGAATAAGAATGAAAGTTGCATTGGTGATAAAAATGCAAACAACGCTTAAATTCCATACAATCTGTGTTTCATCAAAATGTTTTTAAATTAATCCCAACTTAACGAGTACTTCTTCAAAACAATGATTACAATGGAAAACATTTTCCTTAACTTTATAAATCATTAGAATTGCAATTAGCTCAGTTCCCAAATTCAAAGTTTTTAATTACATTTTTCATCTTAAACATTTTGGATTTAAAGTGACACTATATCTTAAATTATTAATGAGTATAGAGTTTTGCACTTTAGCAGATATTTTTTTCATTTATACATTTTATGAATGCCAAGTTTTATAGTTAAAGTAAATGATAGCTTTGATAGTTTATAAATGTAAACGACTCCCTAAGCCACCTTCTAACAAGGACTCCTTTGATATACAGCGCACAGCGACATCGCTGGCTCTGGTCCTGCTCCTGGCCACCAGCTACGCTCGGGCCGAGGACGAGAAGGCTGCCGCTCCCGCGGAGGAGAAGAAGGCTGAGCCGGAGGCCAAGGCTGCCGAGGCAGCGGCCAGCGAGGACACCACCAAGTCGAAGCGCGGCCTGCACCACTACGAGGACTACCACCACCACCACGTGCCCCACTTCCCGGTGCACGAGGAGAAGACGCTCACCGTGATCAAGAAGGTGCCCGTGCCCGTGCCCATCGAGAAGATCGTGCATGTGCCGGTGGAGAAGCACATCCATGTACCCGTTAAGGTCAAGGTGCCCAAGCCCTATCCGGTGATCAAGCACATTCCCTACGAGGTCAAGGAGATCGTGAAGGTGCCCTACGAGGTGCCAGCTCCCTATCCCGTCGAGAAGCAGGTCCATGTGCCCGTCCATGTGCACTACGATCGCCCCGTGCCCGTTAAGGTGGGTTAGGAATTGGGGAAGCACACAAATGGGTATTCTAATGCTTTGGTTCTCCTCCAGGTTCATGTGCCTGCTCCTTACCCCGTCGAGAAGAAGGTTCATGTGCCCGTGAAGGTCCATGTGCCCGCTCCTTATCCCGTCGAGAAGATTGTCCACTACAATGTGGAGAAGCACGTGCATGTGGACAAACCGTATCCGGTGGAGAAGGTGGTCCACTACCCCGTGAAGGTGCCCGTCGACAAGCCAGTGCCGCACTACATTGACAAACCAGTGCCCCACTATGTGGACAAACCAGTGGCCGTGCCCGTGATCAAGAAGGTACCCGTGCCCGTCCATGTGCCCTATGATCGTCCCGTTCCCGTCCATGTGGAGAAGCCAGTGCCGTATGAGGTCAAGATCCATGTGCCCGCCCCCTACCCGGTGATCAAGGAAGTGCCCGTCAAGGTGGAGAAACATGTGCCCTACCCCGTCAAGATCCCCGTGGAGAAGCCCGTCCATGTTCACATCGAGAAGCACGTGCCGGAGTACCATGAGAAGCACATCACCTACAAGGAGCCCGAGTTCCACCACAAGCACATCGAGGAGGACCACCACCACGCCCCCATCCACCACCACTCCCATTCGCATTCGCATCCCATCGTGGAGCATGAGCACGAGGTGGAGCATGATTTTGCCTCTCATGATTATCATTCATATTACGGCTACTAAACTGGTGAATCGAACTCTTCTCTCTTTCTCTCCTCTTCTTTCGCTTTTCTTTGCAGCATTGAGAATGAACTGGGATGGCAAGCTAAGACACTTCCATTTCCACTATTTCCCAAAATAGAAAATCCGAAACATTGAGAACCCATAACCCGCTACACACATCACTCCTCCATTCCACTCCATGTCATATCAACTACCAACTACCAACCACCACTTTCCCACACACTTTGCTATGCAGAACGTGATAACCGACAGAGATTCAGAAACCAGACGAGTAATAGACGAACTTAGCTTTTAGACCGAACTCTCTTCTAGCCGTAAGCCATACAAAAAAAAAAAAGAAAAGAAAAACAGAACACAAAAGGATACCTTGAAACGTTGACGAAACCCGTGAGCACTGTGAATGAGTGGATTGTAAAGGAACTTTAGTTTTAGACTTCTAAGCGACACATTTGGGCCGCACAGCCCACACAACAAGAACAACCAAGAACACCAACCCACTTCCCGCCCCTCCAAGACACTCGATCGGATACAGACAGTTGCCAAATCCAGGATACCAGGATGCCAGGCTTGTTGTACTGCGATGACGATGTGGATCTTTGGATGGACGGAAGCGACACCACCTGGGTGCATCATCGATGTGGTTGCTGCTGCTGTTTTGTCCTCCAGCCGCGGCTCCTCCCTCTTCTGCTCTGGTCCACCCCGACTCGTGCACCCGGTCCGGTTCCCAAATGCGATCGATCTATCCCGGCCCATCTCAGAGATCGGGATCGGGATCCAGATACAGATACAGATCCAGTTGTGTGCAGCGTCCCAGCGTTGTGAGCGTGTGATAAGACTTCTGATAGCGTTTAAGCTTGTGCGATATTCGAGATAGGGAGACGCCTATTTAAGTCAGTTTGTAATCGAACGTATTGTATTAGTTTTTGTAATATTCTTCGCTACCTAGTTTGTAATACGTCTATGTAATACTGCTTCTTTGCATATAAGCAGACGAAACGGATTTATAAAAAGTACTTAATTTACCAAATATTTTTGACTCTGTATAAAAGCTAACAAAAAAATCTCATACAAAATGAAGCTGATGAATGACACACAATTAAATAAATGAAAAACTAAGTGATCAAACGAATATTCAATTGTTTTTATTCTTTATTATCCCTTCTAATAATTTAGTAACAATAATCTGAAATCGACTGAAGAAGAATTTAGCAGCAATTTTATTGATAAATAAAACTGTTTCCTCTTATTGCAAATTGCCTAACAATACGAAAAATAGTTTCAAAATGTATTCAACAAAACAACCAACAAAATAATTAAAAATCTAATTAAATTTTTATTGAAGTGGAATTTAGCTTTTTGCTCATGGAACAATAAATGCTTACATATGCAAAGGCAAATACGGTTTGTCAATATTTAGTTAGAGCTATATAAACTAATTTTTCGAAATAAATAGTCTTAAGCACTAACGCAAAGCCAATAACAATATAAATAAAACAAAGCAAGCAATTACAAATGTTAGACAATTTTCTTTGGAAACGGCAACTCTTAGCTAATTCAACTAAACCTTACTCATAAATAAAAGGCCACAAAGTCCCAAGAAAAAGAATTTCAATCACCAGAATTATGAAGAAAGAAATTTGTATTATATTTTATTCCAAATTAAATTAAAACCTGTACGGAAAATATGCCTATGTTTTAATAATAAGCCTCTAATAATAATATAACCTAAAGACAATTAAACCATTTTAAAAATTTATCATGATATGTTTACCACAGATGACATAGGCATTTAAATACTAATTAAGGCACTACTTCTTTAATCCCTTTTACTGCAATTTTCCTTATTATAATAATTGCATTTTAACCTCAACATTTCCCACATTCTGCAGCTATTTGCATTGGCCAAATTCACTTTCGGTTGAAGTCGTTTACCCACAGAGAGGCAGACATGGAAGGCGAGGAGCCGAATCAAGTCGTTCCTTCATTGCCCATAAATGTCTTATCTAATTTTCAAATGAGGTAAACATCGCCTTGCATTCATAATTGCATATTCAAAGTGTCTCGCCCACAGAAAGACAACCAGACATTCAGACATGGAGGGTAGTGGTTAGGAGCATGGGGATTGGGGATCGGGGTTCGGAGGACAGGCAAGACAGTTCAACATGTTTATTACATTTTCCACACCATCATTTCGCTTTCCTCGGGCTCCGGCTATCTGCACTCGTGTCCATTTCCTAGCGTTTATTTTGCGGTGTGGGCATTACTTTTTATTAGCACCGAGCGACGGGAGCTTTAGTTTTTTCCGACTCAGTCTCGGTCTCGGTTTTGGCTTTGGTTTTAGTTTTTGTACTCCTTTTGCTGCCAAAGCCACAAAAGCCTGTTGCAGCGACCACAAAGATTGGGTTTCAATTTGCATTTTCGGCTTCATTGAAGCCGCTGCAATTTGCAGAGTGGGTTAAATAAAGTGGGCCACGGATTTATCACGTTTTTTCGCCAGTCGGTTTGTAGGACATGTGCTTGTGCTGCTAACCGATATTTGAGCCATAGACCCGTCGACTTGGGAGCTAAGGCACCGCTCTGTTTTATTACCATATTGGGGCTAACTCTCTTGGTGGCTAGTTGTTTCTGGTAGCTTTTGTTTATGTAACTGTAGCGTTTGCAGTTTATTGATTATGCAATAAATAATCGCCAGCACAATGCCCGAACTGCGAACTGGTGTTGTAATCCCCCCTCCTCGCCACCCCCTATTATCCCCCCTAGTGTGTGGCTAATGCCAAAAGAATGGCTGCAATAAAAATCTGGCTAATGGCTCCGATGTGAAGCCGTGCTAGCACTTCATTAATTTAGTAGCCTCGAAGTGCAGTCAGTCTATTATTTTTACAGAAAATTTAAATTAAGCAGGGACCATCGTAAAAAAAGGAGTTTTCCCTCATCAAGCAATTAAATTAAAACAAAGACAGTTATTTAGATATATTAAATGTATTTAAATATAATTTTCTTTATATGGTAAACTACACTTTTTATTTTAATAAATCAAACCATTTTAAAACTTTAACCAGAATAAATATTTCAAAAATGTAAATATGTCATTCTTTCATTAAGTACTTAAACAATTTAATAGTGGTTACCCACATGATATTTCGTAAAAGACATTTTAAAGGAACCCAAACCGCAGACGTTACCATTGCTTGTGGAGAAACCTTAGACAAAATGATCTTATGCAACATTAAAAGAGGAAACCAAATATATTTAAATTAGAAATCGACACCCCCTTCCTAAGTTGGTATCGAAGCAGCAAGTGGAAATTCGAGACAGAAAATATTTGTAGATTACTGGGTCAACGTCTCGAGATTAAAGAGTCGAGCCTGCGCAGTTAAAATCGTCTGGTCGGGATTTTCGTAACAGTTTTTCAACCGGGCTTATTCAAATGATGGCCAACTAAACCCGCTTCGTTTGGCGACGGCAGCCAAGTGGAAAGTGAATGCGGGAAACATTGCAGACATGTGAGTTTTCAGTTTCAGTTTCATTTCATTTTCTTTTCCACAGACCCGAAGCTTGGTTTTTAGTCTGTGTGTCGGACATTATGTGATGTTAGTGGGCCAACTTTATGGCCGGTTCGACTATCCCAGCGATCGCAACGCGTAATCGCCGGCAATTTGACGGAAAATGTTTGAAATTGTGTGTAAATTGTAATCAAAAATAGGAAAAATTAATAATATGCCGCTGCCTGACGCTTTAATTGCTCTGGTTATGCAGTAAATAATGAAATAAGAGAAATGTTTGCTAAATAATTATGCAATCAGTCTCTCCATATAGAACATTTTTAAAACTCACTTGATGTAGGGTATATTTGCTGGTATATGGTACTTGGCACCCATGTCAAAATCTTTTTCCGAGCGCAACACTGGTGGCTTTATACCAGAATACTTTTCCCTAGAATATATTGAAAAATAATAAAAACGTGAAGATTTAATAATAAGCGTATTTTTACACTCACCGTAAATTCCAATAGTGACAGTTCATGGTCCGTTTGTTCGCATTGCCACTGAAGACATCATAACGCCAATTGTCCAAAGACAAGGCAAAAGGCAGAAAGGCCACCTAAATTAAACAAATAAATCAAATTATGAAATTATTATTAATTATTATGAAGGCATAAAAAATAAGTACATAATAAATTATACCTAATTATACCTTTTTATTTTGGATCGTTTAAAATTATTTTTCTTTTATGCTTCGTTTCAAAATGTAAAAAATTTAACTTTATAATAGACTTTATTGTGCTTAGTCCGAATCCAGACAGGAAAACGTATCACGTCGTCATTATAAATAAATTCCATCGCCGCGCCTATCATAACTCGCTGAGTAATTTGTTTATTTTTGCCACAATCTCGTAAAAAATGTAATGTATATATTATATTACAATAATTTTTTTTTGTCGCTGCTTACTTCCGAAGTCATCGTGCGATGTCTCCTAAATAATTCAGCTATACTATAAACCATTTGGCATGGTAGCAAATCTTTATACCCTTGCAGAGGGTATTATAATTTCAGTCAAAAGTTTGCAACGCAGTGAAGGAGACATTTCCGACCCTATAAAGTATATATATTCTTGATCAGCATCACCAGGAGAGTCGATCTAGCCATGTCCGTCTGTCCGTCTGTCCGTCCGTCTGTCCGTCCGTCTGTCCGTCCGTCTGTCCGTCTGTCCGTCTGTCCGTCTGTCCGTCCGTTTCTACGCAAACTAGTCCCTCAGTTTTAAAGCTATCTGCTTGAAACTTTCCCAAAAGTTGTCTTTCTATTGCAGGTAGTATATAAGTCGGAACGAGCCGGATCGGGCGACTATATCATATAGCTCCCATATAACTGAACGATCGGAAAAGCCATAACTTTGGTGTTTTTAAAGATAAGAAGTTGGGATTTTCTATGGGTTTTATTTTTGGCCAATCAATCCGACATACCAAATTTCATAAGGATCGGCCGACTATATCTTATAGCTGCCATATAACTGATTGATCGGAAGTGCCATAACTTTGGTGTTTGTAAAGTTAAGAAGTTGGGATTTTCTATGGGTTTTATTTTTGGCCAATCAATCCGACATACCAAATTTCATAAGGATCGGCCGACTATATCTTATAGCTGCCATATAACTGAACGATTGGAAATGCCATAACTTTGGTGTTTTTAAAGTTAGGAAGTTGGGATTTTTTATGAGTATTAAGAATGCATCATATGAATAATTTTGGAGAATATAATAACAGAGTATTCTGCAAGGGTATATCAACTTCGGCTCCGCCCGAAGTTAGCTTTCCTTTCTTGTTTAAATTTGTTTTTGAAGTTCGGAATTTAAAAATAAATAGATAGACACATGTCTCCTCACCTTATCAATAGCCATGGTAAATAGATAGTTTATATCATAGCTAGACTCGTCGAGGGACCTCTGCAGGAGCCCCAGGGTCTGTAGATGTTTTGGAGTGGATACCGACAGCCCAATGGCATCGCCCACCGCCTGGTGAAAGGCTGGATTGGCGCCATTCCTGAAGATCTTGGGCAGGTGGCGATACTGCAGGAAGTACTGGATGTGGGCCATCTCATGATGCACACTAATCAAACTCCGCTGGTTGATGTCTGTGCAGATCTTCACTCGAAAATCGTGTCGATTGCAGAAATCCCAGGCGGAGGGCTCACACAAGACTCTCCTGTCCAAGGGCTGCTCGAATACGGAGTTGCGATAGAATTCCGGACCAACGGCGGACATGTTGATGGAGGTGAAGAACTCCTCGGCCAGCTGGAACATCAACTGCGGTGTATAGCCCTGCTCCACCATACGCGGGGTGACATCGATCAGCTTGCGACCCGGATAGGGTATCAAAATGTCCAGCACATTGGACCACGACTGGCCGTACATGTTGCCCAGAATGTGTGAGGGAATAGGAGCTATGCGGTTGATGCGATCCGGACCATAGTAGTCCCTCAACTTCCGACGAACATACGCATGCAAACCTTCGTAAAGAGGTCTTATCTGCTCCCAAACAATGTCCATGTCCTGACGAAAGTTACCCGATTCGTATCCCAAATACCAGTACTCTCCGCCATTGGTGACATCTGTTAAGGATCGGATTTCAGTTG